TATTACACACTTTCACTAACCAATAAAATACTATTATTTCTTAATTTACTAAAAAAAATCCAAAATGATTAATTGAAAAGCGACGGAGGGAATATAAAAAATTAGATACCTATTTTTTTAAATACAAAAAATTAATTTTACATTCAAAATATTATCACAATACATATTAATATCGCATAAAAAATTATTTCAATTTAAAATTTTACTATGCAAACTCCCAAACTCAACTCTCAAACCTACAACCATGCAATCATTTCTATATATATATATACCTACGGTAATTCAAGGCATTTCTTGTAATAAGATACTCCCCCATCTCTTTCGAATGTGTAATTTGGAGGTTTGTAATAAATTAAAAAATAATGCTCCTATCATCCACTTCGTAGGTTTACATTTACTTTTTGTATGTTAATTTTTAAATATTAATTATTATATCAAAATATAGTACAAATCAAGAGAAAAAAGACAAAAATACTTTTATTAGTATCTCATAATATAAATATAATGACATTTGTATGATAAATTATACAAACATAAGAATATTTTTAATGTTAATTAGTACAATGACGGAAAGATAAATGTAGACCTCAGAGCTGGACAGAAAAAATAGTATTTTATTGGTCAGTGAAAGTGTGTAAGAAGTTTTGACATTTTTGTCCATGTATAAAGTAATTGTATGTGTAATGATATATTTGTAATTTAAGTAAAAGTAAAGGATATTTTGGTATTAATGTATAATTACTTTTACTAAAATAGGAAAAGAATAGTCCCGTAAGAGATGTCAGATGGTGTGGAGAGTGAACTTATGACGGCGAGGTCATGAGTTTAAACCCCAACGCCTCCAGGTCCACCTGTCACACATAGTTCGCTTAGTGCGACTTGTCTGTGAGTCTAATTTGCAGCGTATTAGGTTTAGCTAGGAATTTACTCAGTGCACACTTTCGATAGCAGCAATGGTACTTTAAATTAAAATAAAGGAAGTAAAAATTAAAAGCTACTTACAAAAAAATAGATGTCACCAAAGATAAAATGGTCCAATAATGACCCAAAAGGGCATCGGCGACATATGCACTCAAGACGGGGGGTCATATAAATGGTGCCGAGACAATTGGTAATATTATTGGCTGATGTGAGTTTGACTATTTCAAAAAAAAAAAAAAAAAAAAATTATTCAAAAAAAATTCTAACTAAATATTAATTTTTTATATTATATTAAAATTTAACTTACATTCAAAATATAGTGTCATTGCATATGTGTATTATATCAAATAATTTTTTCAATTTAAAATTTACTATTCAAAATCAAAACCCCACAAAATAGTCGGGAAAGTAGAGTGTGTTTGGATACGCCATTCTTTCGGATTTTTTTGGATGGGTCAACTAATACTAGTATGATATTGTCCGCTTTGGGCCGAGTCCGCACAAATTTGTTTTGAATTTCCTACAAAAGTTTTCATACTAATGGAGTTGATTGAAAACTTATATGGTGTGGATTTTTTTGTTCTAATATTTCAATATGGGGCTTGAATTTGTATCGCAATAGTTTGATGTGTTTTGATTGATTTTTGTATATTTTTTTTGAATTTTATTGTTATGTATATATATATATATATATTATATTTTTAAGTAATATTTTTTAAAATCAGTGTATTAAAATGAAAAAAAAAAAAAGAAAATTAAGTGAACACCCTCTAAATAACAATTATTAAAATGAAAAAAAAATATTAAGTGAACACCCTCTAAATAACAACACTTAAAAGTTTATTTTTAATGTGTATTCAATGTAATTTATTAGTTTTAAAAAAGAAAAGACCACCTGGCAATTTGTGAAAGTCAAACTTGTTTGATCTAATAAAATTTATTTTTTCGTTGGTCTATATTTGGTAATAGTTTCAGCGATATATACCATATATCTTCTCTGTCGTGTACATATGACCAATAAATATTTATTAATAATATTCAAACGATTTTCCTTTAAAATATGGTGGAGTCTATCAAAAGGTATATATCCCTAACTTAATAATATATATATTATATTCACAAAAATCATTGAGTTTAGCATGCTATAATTCTTCTTTAAAATACGTTGGTCTACCAATAAAAATATAAAATAAAAAAATTCGTGATTCTTGGATGGAATATAACTAATAAAAATATAAAATAAAAAAATTAGTGATTCTTGGATGGAATATAACAAAGTGAGATATAATTTGAAGATATGTTGCTATAAAAATCGTTGAATTCATACATAAAAAATAAAAATAAAAAAATTATTTTGCACTTGTAAGCAATTGTAAAGACTGATTGGCGTGTTTCTTTTTGTTGATTGCAACCTTTAGATCCTCCATCAAGCAATGCCAGAAACCGGTCGAAGGCAGCCGAGTATCATAAAGATGAAGTTGTTTCTACGATGAATATGGGTGATCTTGAAGACAATGAATCTAAAAATATTGTATGGCTCAAAATTAATTTGTCAAGAAATAGATGCAGAGGATCAAAATATATATATATATATATATATATATATCGCCTTTGTTATCCTTATTATTGCGGAAGGGTAAAATATTTCATTTTTACTTTATGTTATCTTTTTTAATTTTCCTAAACAAGAAGAATGAAAAAAAAAAAAAAAGAGAGAGAGAAATAATTAAAAATTGAGATAAAAATTGAACAAAATTATATAAATTTTAATTTTTTTACTTAAAAAAATTAAAAGTGCAAATTAACAAAACTATAAAAAATTCATAAACTATTCTCATATTCAAAGATTCTATATCGATGAAATCATGGAAGCAGACTTTTGATTTCCACTAAAAAAAATAGTATATTTGTAACGGAATTCCGTTCCTAAAGTTCACGTAGCTAATGTAATTTCATCTCTAATTTCGTCTCTAATATCATTAGTAACGGAAAAAGTGAATTTAAGAACGAAAAAATCTCGTTACAAAATTGATATTTTTTTGTAGTGTTCCTTGGACCACGCAAGAATTTGTCGCCCGATTCGATCTGCTTGTTCCTCAATGCTCTATAGAAATCTATCGCTATTCCTTTCCTCGACCGAGAAAGCTTCATGGAGAATCACAAGAACAATCTATTTTTTTGTTTTTGTTATGGTAATGCAATGCAAGAGGTCAGAAATCAAGGTGGATGTCAAATCGAAATTGTAGCTAAAAAAGTAAGCGTCGAAAAGGCATCCTCGCATCAATTCATTAGAAAGCCGGAAAGTAGAAATAGAGATTTTAAGCGCAAATGAAAGGAATGTTGTAACCGGGGTGGGCTACGTGAATCCACGTTGGAAGGACATCATACCAAAGTCTTGATCCGACTTCGATTGGTTAAGGTTTTACATTAAAAAAAAAATAAAAATAAAAATTTGGGAGGGTAAATTAGTAAAAAATACACTAAAAAATATTTATATTTTGGGGCTGAGGTCAGTTGACCCCACTAATCTCTATATAGTTCTGTCCCTGATTGCATGTGCGGTTGATTGCGTGTGCTGCCCATGATAAAGAGAGATATTTTAAATCATAACAATTATCCATGTGTTAATATTTTTGAAGGACTAATTATGTTATGTGATATTAGAAGTTGTTTGCACTTATAATTTAAAATGAAATGGACATGCAATTGATACAATCTATAATACAATTGGTTCAATATGGAATAGTCCACTTGCAAATTTAAACGTGTATATTTTGCTCAATATCCACATTTTTTTTTTATTGATCGGATCAATATCCACATTTTTTAATATATATGGTTTGAAGTTGTACGACATATTGTATGGTTATGAACCAAGTTTTCAAATGCATAAAAAGCCTAAAAAAACAATATTCAGGTCGCATAAGGTTCAATAATTGTATCAAATGCAATCCATATTCAACAAAAAATATTATTATTGCTATTGCCCAACCCTATATCCAAACCTCATGGAATGAAACAAAAAAGGCTTAGTTGGCTTAAAGTATTGCAAAACTGATCTGCAGTTAGCTGACATACTAACAAAACCTTTATCAAGAAGCAAATTTTGAGTTTCTTAGAGAGAGACTTGAAGTTTGTAGCATTCAAAGTAAGAAGGAGTGTTGAAATCATGCTTTAGTCTGTTGCGTCAACTTTATTTTTTTTTATTTTATTTATGTTTCAATTTTTAAAAATTGTGGACTACTTCAAATAACTTAGTTAGGGTTGTTCCTAGCTTAGGAAGTAGTTGATGATTACATTTTTATTGCTATCTTTATAGCCTCTGCTCAAGGGAATAAACAATATATCAAGTTTCAGTTTCTCAACTTTTTTCTCCTTCTAATTCCTAAAATATACCAACAAGGCTATAAAATAGAAGGTAACCATAAAGGAATAATAACACATTAATAGAATAAAGCCTTGTTAGAAAGAAAGGGCATGGAAGCTTTCAAAAAGATGAAGTAATGTGTTCTTGTTGAATGGGAGGTCTGTCAATATTTACATTGCTGGAGTGGCATTCCGTTATGGCACTCTGAATTGTTTCCTTTAAATTTCCAAGTGTAATAAATCAAACATAAATTTCCAAGTGTAATGAATAAAAAAAAAAAATTAAAAAATTCCTGTTAGATGGACGGACGTAAACAATCCTCGTACAAACAATAGGATATAAACATCCTTTGCAGTTCTTTACTTAAACAATCAACTATTTTTTGGGTCTAAATTGCAAGCCCTAAACTTCCTCTAGTTTGTAAGATTAATTATATGTATATATATATATTTTGAAGAAAAAAATTGATAGTAAATAGTTAAAAACAACATAAAAACAAAGTAGAACAAACCCTCACTCTATTGCATTTTAGTATCATTTGAGTTTAAATTGGAATTAATTTTTTCCCAATGTAATGACTTCCATTATTTCGACGAAATTGGCATAAACCATAATTCATTGCTTAAATAAAACAAATGGACAAGAACATCCTTTGTACTTGTCTACTTATCAGCCAAATGCTTTGGTTCGAATGACATCGAATTTCCTCTAGTTTGAAATAATTTCTTCATTCCTCTCCTCGCATTTTTCGAACCATCAGCTCTTCCGCAAGCACTTTCATCGAATCCGAAACTTCGGCTCTATAGACATAAAACCTCGCCACAGCAAGAAACAAGACAAAGTTAACGGCGCTCAAGATGGCGAGGAGCGCGTAATAATAATCCAAGTGCGAGTCGTTAAGGTTGTTCCTAATCCATCCGTCGTGCCCCTCTACACTCGTGACATTCGACACAATGGTCAGCAACAAGCTGCTGAGGAAGTTCCCAGCTCCAAGACTAATCATCCAATACGATGTCCCTAAACTCTTCATACTCTCAGGCGCTTGGTCATAGAAGAACTCGACCTTCGCCACATTCAAGAATGCATCTGACATGCCAAATAGTATGAACTGAGGCAATAGAATGAATAGTGATAAAGGGACTTGATTCCCATTCTCGACTACGCCATTCTCTCTAGCGACATGGATTCTATACCGCTCGATTAGCGAGGCAATGGCCATGACAGTGATGTGCAAGATCATGCCGATTCCCATTCGTTGGAGGAGGGTAATGCCTCTAGGGTTTTTGGTCCATTTTCTTATTGTCTTGACGAAGATCCGATCATAAAACACAACGGTTATGAGCATGGAGAGGGAGATGAATCCGACTATACTGGCGGGAGGGACCTCGAAGGAGCCAATGTGCAGGTTGAGAGTGGTGCTTTGCTTCACAAAAAGTGTCGTGTATTGAGCATAGAGTGTGCTCGGGATGAAGGTGACGACGAGGATCGGGATCATTCGAAGCATCTGCTTGGTTTCTTCTACTTGTGTGACCGAGCAAAGGAGCCATGGCTTGCTAGAGTTTGTTCTTAGACATGCTTTGTTGAGGAATCTACATAAATGTATTAAGAATCATGGTTAATAGTAGGTCTAATACAATTTTTAATTTTATTTTCATAAAAAAAATTTTAATACGTCCTTTATCATATAAAAGTAGGGTTCTTTTTATTTTTTATCCATCATAACAAAAAAAAAAGATCATTTTCTTTATTAGTAAAACATCATATCAATTTTCTACTTAATTATATAATTTTTTTCTACTTTTTTATTATTAAATGTATAAACTATTCTATCTGTGATTTAACAATATATCTATTTTTTTATTTTGGTCTATCCCACAACATCTATTTTTAGTAACTGTATTTTCTACTAACATTAAGAATAGTCTTACAACTTACAATATATTATACAAATGTCGTTACTTTTATATCATACAATACTAATAAGATTATTTTAGTCTTTTCTACTTTATTCATACCACACTTCAATATAATACTAATATTCCTAAAATTTCGTACAAAAGATAGATAGATAGATAAATGACAAAGAGAGTATTAAAAAGTATACACCATTTAAAACGTGTGGTACAAGTAAATAAATATCTTTTTGGCAAAAGACTAGTAAAATGAAAATTTTCAAAACGCGAGGCTAATCATGAATTCAATGAATATAGATCGATCATTACTTTGACAATAACTTTTTATTGATAGTCATATTTAAATTGACAACAATAACATGAATATCTAATAATTTCTCAAACTAAATAAACTCTCATGTGATATATGGTATTTAATTCCGTCTATGAAACAATCATATGGATTATCTCACCACTCAATGTAAATATACACCCAAAATGAATTTAAAAAAGATATGTATTTTAAGATTGTAGATTTCACGAAACCCTACATAAAAGTACGAATCTATGGTCAAATTGATTGCAATTCATGTGGCATATGAAATTATCCTAATATAATTTAGATTGTATACTTGATATGTAATGTTTTCGACATATACAGTCCTATTTTGATAATTGAAGTTTCAATTGAAGTGTTAGATTAGAGATTTATTAGCATAGTATTGATTGTCCCAATCAACATATGAAAATTCTATATATAAATAGTATATGAAAATATAACTAATAATATATGATGTATAAAATATTAGTATGTGTTATATATTCTATTTTATATGTGTTATGTCTATATATAATGTATTATCTTATATATATTATTGTACTATCAACATAATATTAATTAGATTTAATCAACACTAACATTGGTCTACTTGTAAACACAAACTAAATTAAATACATGAGAAAATTTAATGACAATTAGCTAATAATATAAAATTGGAAATAATTAAGCAACACATTAAAAATAGAGGGTCATATAATATATTTCATTTAACTGAACATATTGTATGAAACTATGTGACAACTCATATTTTACAAGTGTACTCTATGAATATATTTTTTATAGGGAGATCCATGGTAATATGTATTATGTATATTATTGGCATGTATTGTTAGTCATTTATATTATATTAATACATATCTTATATTGTTAATTTATTTTTCATGTATTATTTATCTATATTTGAGAGGTGGTCGCAATCATTTTGAATGATATACTAACAGCAACCCATAAAATTTGAATAACAAATCAAATTCATTTTGGAAGTAAGAACCAACCTCATGCCAGTTGTAGAATCAATCATGTACTTCCCTTTGCGATACTCTATTGGATCAAACTCAAAGAGTTCCTTAGGGTCTGTCGGGATCTCCACCTTCCACTTGATAATCGAAGACACAATGACCTTAATCATTTTTGTAAATGGGCTTCCCATGGGCCTCTTGTGCCGATAGAAGGGTGTCCCAGCAAAAAATATCAATATCGATATAGCTATTCCAATGGTCGGGATTCCATACCCGAGCGTCCACCCCACGTTGTCCTGAATGTAGACAAGCACAGTAGTTGCAAATAATGAACCAAGAAATATGCTAAACATCCACCAATTGAAGAAGGAAAGTTTTTGAGCTTTCTCCCTAGGGTCGAACTCGTCAAATTGATCTGCCCCGATGGTCGAAATATTTGGCTTAGCTCCACCATTGCCAAGTGATAGGATGTATAGGGCAGCAAAGAATACAACTAGTTGTAATGTAGTTGGCTGACAATGGACATCAGTTGAGTCTGAACACGAACTTGGTTTTAAAGGATCGATAGATACTGAAAGAGTTAAAAGAGACATTCCCTATTGTTATCACAAGAAAAACAAGTCATGTTAATAAGACGAAATTAGGAAATAATTGTATATAACAATTGCTACAATTATTATTATTATTATTATGAAAAAAAAATTAATGAAATTCAATTGTAGTGAAGCTATGTGATTATTGTATGACAAATTGTCATAGAATAGGTCATGCATTTTCATATTACAACCTATTTGTTATTTGAAGTTTTGATCAATCCTAAGTTGCACCTGGGATTCAAATTTCTAGTTGTGTCCATAATTCTATACATTCCAAAAAATATGTCCACAGGTCTCTAGAATGTAACTGAACAAAAAAATTGTACAAAAATTTTCATACACGCTGCGATTTAAATAATGATGCAGGACCTTAAAATTTTATAAATTTACCACTAGAACCATCCATGGGCAAAGATGAATCGGAATCATACCATTATTTGATCAACCACTTTATACATGTTGTGATGAGGCAAAATTCTCCATGGTTACCGCGATAATGTATGTTAAGCAGTTAAGGTTAGCCATACTATTTTAGAGTTTCTGTATGATTATATATGTAAGTTATTTGGAACAGCATTACTAGAGAATCATAATATGGTTATTGATCTTTATTGCTCCAAATTATTATTTTTTTCCATAAAAATAAAATTACCAATCATTAAAATAAATTGATATTTTTTTTTCATGAATGTATACTATTTTAGAAAGATGGTGAGGTTCTGAAAGAATGAAAATTCTATACAACATCACATAGTAAGCATGGCAGTGGCAGAAAAATGTTATAGCATCATATGATATATTTTCCCTTTGAAAAATTAATTACAAATTTTGTAAAATATTTCTTAAATAATGATCAACTTTATTTTAGTGTGAAGAATTACAAATGAAATGAAATGTTGTTTTATTACGTCAGATATTGAAATAATGTGTCATTGTTGTAGCCTCAAATACTTTGTCTCAAACATTATATTGATATCCCCCCCTTTACTGGTAAGTTTCTATATCGAACTTAGAAAATTTAAATATAACTATATTTTTAATAAAGTTGCATTTGAGTTAACAAAAAGATGAGATTAATTATTTATTTTAAAAGGAACCGTAGAGGAAAATAAGGATATGTATCTTTGTGATCAATACAATATGTTGTACTACCTCCGTCCACCGCCAATCTATCCATTTGCATTTGGCGTCATTATTTTTAATATTAAAAATATCCTTATATTTGTATAAGTTTTTGTACAAATATCATTACATTAATATTATAAGACACCAATAGAAGTATTTTTGTCGTTTTTCCTTAATTTGTAGTATGTTTTGATTTAATAATTAATATTCAAAGATTAATATGCAAAAAGTAAATGGATAGATTGGCGGTTGATTGAGGTAGTATTTACTTTATAGAATGATATTATAATACATAATACTACCTTTGTGACTTAAATAGGTTTTCATTTGTTTTTTGTGTGTACAACTTTAAATATTAATATAGATTGATACACAGTACAAATTAAGAAAAAAATTATATCTATTAGTGTTGTATAATACAAATGTAATATTATACGAATATAAATACATTTTTAATATTAAATACAATCACACAAAAAAACAAATGAATACCTTGTTAACTGAAAGAGGGAGTATCATTTTAATAGATTTTATAATAATGAGATTAATCAATCAAGAGCGCTATCTACGTCTTGGTAAGTAATATTTAATTTTATTTCTCGTAGCATAAATGGAAGTAGATATTACTTACCAAGAAGTAGATCGCGCTGCCGATTAAAAAAGTCCAGTAACGACCCAAAAGAGCATCGGCGACATAAGCACCCAAGACAGTGATCATCCAATTGGTGCCGAGCCAATTAGTGACATTGTTGGCCGAGGTGACTGTGCCCTGGTGTAGTTTTGTCGTTAAATATATGAATAGATAGCTCGATATTCCATGGTACGCCATTCGCTCGAACACTTCATACACTACATATGCATCAGTGTATCAAACAATGCTTACTTATTTTCTAGAATAGAACTCATTCAATAGATAATTAGTGTGTGTAAGGTGTTTTATGAGCGTGCTTTAAATAACCATTCTCTTGTAAAAGTATATAAGATCAAAACATACCAAACATAGCTAAATTTATGAGCCTAAAATTATTTGACTAGGCACATGTAATAGTTTAACTGTATATAAATATGTTTATTATGTCGAAATTAATAATATATTATTTTATATTATATCATTGTGTTGTCAAATATAAATTAGTGATGCGATTCAATAGAATTTGCTTTTAAAATAATCATTTTTACAAATAATTTTAATACTGATGCTATTATTTTATATTTTTTACTATGAATATATAATTTTTTTTAAATGTAATATAAAACCAAGCAATTATTATGTATTTAAAATATTTCATCTGTCTCAATTCAAAATATTTCTTTTATCATTTACATCCGCCTCAGTCAAAAGCATTTATTTTCATTTTTAGTAAAAGTAATCATATACTAATATTAAAATATTTTTAACTTTTATGTAAATTACAATCTATAATTACATATACAATTATTTTTTACATAAAATAGAAAAAAATGTCAAACTTTCTTAAACATTTAAACTGACCAATAAAATATTACTATTATTTTTTAATCTATTATAAAAATCTCAAATGACCCTTTAAAATTGAATTCAGGGAGTATCATATATATAAATATCACTTAAATACAAATAAATACTATATATCAAATATTAGTTTAAAACAATCAATTTGAACAATTTAATTTATGAAATAGTAAAATTTTCTGTAAATATTTTAATTATTTTAATTTTATTTTATTTATAATATCATAATATTTTGTTATATATAAAATCTATAATTAAACATATTAAAATTTTATTTAATATCATCATCTTAAAAAATCTATATTTAAATTATTTTTTATTAAAATATAATATTTAATACTATTATTATAAAATTTAAAATAAAAACAAAAAATATATAAAAATATATAACTAAAGGGGCCTAATATGACTTTGTCCCGAGCCCCCTAAATTATCATTAAGGGGTCTGATGGGTAGGGGTGGGGGTTCAAATTGGGTAGTTCAGTCTGATCCGTTCTGATCGGATTCGGCTTTATTGGAACGATATTTTTAAAATAAATAAATAAAATACAAGAATCCTATGAAAATACAACGTTATATATAATAATATATATATATACTATAATTTTGGTTCTTAAAAATAATATATTTATATTTATAATTTTTAATGTATATGAATAATTGAATTGGTATTAAATAGAAATTTTTTTTCCATTTTTTTATTAAAAATGATCAGAGATAATCTTTCTTATTTTATAAAATTTTAATCCAAAAAAATTCAACGTCAACTTTGTGCTCTTGGCCGGATGCGGACGTCAACAACTGCTATCTTCCGGATTTCAAATATTCTTTGTGTTTGTTTGGGAATTGAGTTTTAAATTTACTGTTTATTTTATTTTTTTTTAAAAAAATATTAAATCAAATATCTATTTTTTATTTTTTATATTATACAGAAAATTAATTTTACAATCAAAACATCACGTCAACACCTATTTATCTATTTATGTCACATCGTACAACTATTCAAATTCAAAATTTTTACTATTCAAATTTCAACTCAAAATTCAAAGTCCCAAATAAACACACCTTAATATCTGTAAGTTTTTCAAGTATAAAAATGTGGGTTTATATTAAAAATATCTTTTAGACAAAAAATTAAAATAAAAAAAAATTCGGGAGGGATTGGGTGCTGAATGAAAAAATTCAGCACCCATGCTGAACACTTTGAAATTAATTATTTTAATTTATATAATTAATTACAATAATTAACATAATCATATATCATCAAATTTTAACTGCTACTAAAAAAATTTAGGGTAACCAAAAAAATCGGGTCAGGTCTGAGTAATGAAAAACACTACTCAAAATTTTGGATACCCAATCCAAATTACCCGATGTCGAACTACCCGAATCAGAAAATTAATTATGACTTCAATTCAAGCAGAAAACCCCAAAAATAAAAATTATTTATCTATTTATTTGGGTGCAATTTACTTTACCTATCTATCTATCGAGTATTATATCTCAAAAATATCAAAATTCAAAATATATGCATCGAATATATATATGTGTATATATACATACCAACCATGAAGGAACAAGCAGTCCATCGACCTGTGTTGGATCGAAGAACAGGTTGGCCTCTGAGATCAACTGATCCATCTTCTGTGTATAATCTCTTTTCTTCTTCTTCTTCTATAAGTACACCATTTCTACTTCCATTCATGGCTGATTAGTTACAGCTGACAGCTCTTCTTTGCTGTTTCTCTGTCTTCCTAACAGAAACATATATATGGATATATGTATATCTATATAGTATTTTAAAGGGTTGTTTATATATTGGTTTGATGGAATTATTCAACAGTTAAAGGGTGTGTTTTCAGATTAGTTACTTTATTTTATTTCTTTATTATTTATCTTTTTAGATATGAAAAATGTTTGGACTTTCACTTGCGGATTTATGATTAATTATTGCATTTCCCTAAAAGTTCAAACTATTAAGTGAGACGGTCATTCAGCATCCGACAAAAAAATATTGTAGTTAACATAAATAATAATATTTTGTATTTATTATTTAATTTTTTTTTACTTTTGATAAGTATCAATATTATATATAAATGGTACTGGTGTGTAGGTATATATTAAATTATTTTATTATATTATAAAAAAATCCTGTAAAATTTTGAATTGGCCAAACATACCCTAGAATTTTAGTAAAGTATCATTTAGAATATATTAATTTCACCTATTTAGATGAAATTTATTATCCAAGATCAGATACTATTCCAACGGGCTTTAATAAGTAAATTAATAGGTTATTAATTTAAATAAAATAATATTGCGTCCGTCTATTTAATAAAGTTACATTACATTTTTTTTTAAAGTTATATTAAATATATATTTTATCATATTGAATTGTTTCGGAATTTTTGAACCTACTTTAAATAATTTCAAAATTTTCAAACTTTTATTAATTTCATAAATTACATACTTTTACTAGTCTCAGAACTTTCGAATCTATTTTGAATAGTCTAAAAAATTCTTAGACTTTTATTAGTCTCGGAAATTCTGAATATATTTTAATTAATCTCGAAAATTCCGAATCTATTTTAATTAGTCTTTTGAATTCCGAACTTTATTCGTCTAAAAAATTTCGAATCTATTTTTATTAGTCTCGTAAATTCTGAATTTTATTAGTATCGGAACTTTCGAATCTATTTTAATTAGTCTCGAAACTTTCAAACATATTTTAATTAGTCTTGGAAAGTCGGAACTTTTATTAGTCTCGAAAATTTTGAACATATTTTAATTAGTTTTGGAACTTCTGAAATAATTAGAATTAGTTTTAAAAATTTCAAACTTTTATTAATCTCAAAACTTTCGAACATATTTTAATTAGTTTCAAAATTTTCCAAATCTATCAAATAATTTAAATTCGACAGTCATTATACTCTTTCTTTTAATTAAAATAACTAAAAACTATTTTTAAAAATTAATGAATAATTTCTTTCCCCGAAAATCAAAATAATTTCTTCTCTCCAAAACATTCTCTTTTCTTTCATTTCTTCTTATTCTTCTTCTACTCTTATATTCTTATTCTCCTCCTCCTCCATTTTCTTCTCCAACAACAAAGCTAGCAGCAGCGGTGATTCTCCTACAACAGTGGCGGAGGGGCCGGCAGCGGCAACGGGGTCTTCTCTTCCTCCTCTTCATCTCTGGGGGTGACGGTGGGGCCGGTGGCGGCAACAGCAATGGCGTCTCCTCCTCCTTTTTCTCCGGCAGCAACAGCAGTGCGGCAGCGGCAACGGCGTCTTCTCTTCCTCCTCTTTTTTCTCCTCCGGTGGCAATGGTGGCTGCGGAGCCGGAGCCGGAGCCGGAGCCGTCATCTCCACCTGCTCCTTCTTCGGCGGCGACGCCAGAGGCAAAGCCAGCGACAACAACGGCATCGTCTCCTCCTCCGCCTCCTTCTCTAGTAGCGGCGGCAGCAGGGATGGCTTCTCCGTCTTCTTCTTTTCCGCCGGCGGCGGCATGGTAGAAGGTTGCCAAAGAATTTTTTAAATTAATTTTAGAAAAAAAAAAAAAAAAACAATTTAATAATTGCCTCGGAATTCTGAGGCAATTATCAAAATCATTCGTATGTTTGTGAGTACTTTCACTTTGGATTCGGTCTCAGAATCTTTGAAGTTATAAATAGTCTCAAAAATTTCCAAGCTATTTTAAATAGTCTTTGAATGTTTCAAAAATTTCAAAACTATTCAAAATAGACTCGGAATTTCTGAGACTCTTCAAAATAGCAACAATTTTTTAAACTCAGATACCAATCCTGATAGGATTAATTTAGTTATGCTTTGTTAACAAATGTCCTAGTCTTTAGGGATTGATATTATTTTGATTTAATTTGTTCCAGTAATTTCAACATAATAATAGCTAACTTTCAGTCTATTCTTGTAAAGCTATATATAGCCAATAATGCTTATTCAATAAATGAGTTATTCCACCAGATTGTTTTACGTTCTTGCTTCAGTAATAGCATTTATCTAATATTATGGTATCAGAGCTCGTATGACTTCCAAAGTGAGATAACAAAGGAATAAAGATGGCAAGCGAATGAAATTTTGTACAGCCCGCCATCCCACTCTTTGATGGTCACTACGATCACTTGAGTATGCTCATGGAGAATTTCCTTCGATCGAAGGAATACTGGAGCCTAGTAGAGACAGGGTGTAAACAACCAGGAAGTGATGCACAGTTGAAGGAAGCAGAACAACGGAAAATCGATGAGCTAAAGTTAAAGGATTTGAAACTGAAAAACTACATTTTCCAAGCAATCAATCAGACTATTCTTGAGAAGAACACCTCCAAACAAATTTGGGATGCCATGAAGAAGAAATTTGAAGGGAATGCAAGAGTTAAGAGGTCTCATCTCCAAGCTATTAGGCGAGAGTTTGAAACTTTGGAAATAAGGCTCGGTGAAGGAGTAACGGAATATTTTGCTAGGGTCATGATGATAGCAAACAAAATGCGAGTATATGGAGAAGAATTGGGAGATGTGAAAGTGGTGGAGAATCACTGACTGAGAGATTCAATTATATTGTATGCTCGATTGAAGAATCGAAAGATATTGACGCATTAACAATTGATGAGCTGCGGAGCTCTCTCATTGTTCATGAACATAAATTCAACCGCAGTAGTAAAAAAGAACAGGCTCTCAAAGTAACGCATAGTGCAAGTCATAGCGAAAGCAAAAGAGGACTTGGAAGAGCACCCCTTCGAGGTGGAAGAGGCAAGGGTCGTCAAGCCATTGACAAGGCACTTATTGAATGCTACAATTGTCATCAGCTCGGACATTATAGATATGTGTGTCCAATTTTAGGGAAACACGTACACTATGCAAATCTAGGTGAACCTGAAGAACAATTTCTCATGGCATATGTTGAAACAACTTGAGTGAATAATGATGCGTGGTTTCTCGATTCAGGTTGCAGTAATCACATGTGTGGTGATAAATCCTTATTTTGTGTTCTTGATGAGGGATTTAGGCAAACAGTAAAGCTTGTTAATCAGACAAAGATGAATGTTGGTGGCAAAGGAAGTGTGAGGTTGTCACTAGATGGTATTAACCATTTAGTCACGGAAGTGTTCTTTGTACTAGAGTTGAGAAATCATCTTTTTAGCATTGGTCACCTACAGGAAAAGGTCTTATCCATTCTAATTCAATCAAATCAATGCAAAATATAGCACCCATAAGGCTTGATTATTCAAACAGCTATGATGGCTAACAGGATGTTAATGTTGTTGTCTAACACACGACCTATGAAGAAGAAAATTGATGGGATGTGTCTCCAAGTCACTACTCAAAATTTAGCTCAACTTTGGCACCAAAGATATGCACATCTCAGCTACAAAGAACTTCACATTTTTCAGCACAAATGAATGGTGAAAGGGTTGACAAATTTCCCCAAATCTAATACAGTGTGTAGCGATTGTTTAAAAGGGAAGAAACATCGAGATTCTATTCCCAAAAGGAGTTCCTGGAGAGCAACACAAAAATTAGAGCTTGTTCATGTTGACATTTGCAGTCCAATCTCTCCTACATCTACTAGTCACAAGAGGTACGTAATTTGCTTCATTGATGACTTTAGTAGAAAAGTTTGGGTCTATTTTCTCATAAATAAGGCATATGCCTTTGCCTCGTTTAAGATAATCAAAAGTTGTGTTGAGAATGAGGCATGTTTACTTATTAAATTTCTGAGAACAGACCGTGGTGGAGAATTCACGTTAAATGAATTCAACACATTCTGTGAGAAGAATCGAATAAAGAGACAATTAACCACCGCCTACACACCACAACATAATGGCGTTGCGGAGAGGAAAAATAGGACCGTGATGAACATGACGAGTAGATTATTATCCGAAAAAGGAGTTCCCAAAATATTCTACCCTGAAACAGTAAATTGGACCATTCATGTACTAAATAGATGTCCTACAACCTCTATCAAAGATGTTACACTAAAGGAGGCTTGGAGTGGAAACAAGCCTTCCGTTGAACACTTCAGAGTTTTTGGTTGTTGTTCACATGTACATGTTCCCGATGCTCACAGAACCAAGCTTGAAGATAAAAACCAACGGTGTGTTTTGTTTGGAGTTAGTGAATAATCAAAGGGATACAGACTATACGATCCAGTTTCAAAAAGGATACGGATTAGTCGTGATGTTGTCTTTGGGGAAGATGAGAAATGGGACTGGGATAAAAGTTCAGAAGAATTAATTGGAACGAATCTTGAATGGGGTACTCAAGAAGAACATATTGAATATGAAGATGAAGAGAGTGAATGTGCAAGGAGTTTTAATCACAATGTAGCATCGAGTGAAGATAATAAGGTTCGTCATGATGTGATATCGAGTCGAAATAATAAGGTGACCCTGCCGTCAAATATAGTTGAAACCAGGCTCATGAGACCACCCGTTTGGATGAAAGATTATGTTTCCGATGAAGGACTCTTCGATGAAGATATCGTGGCAAATATGACACTACTTGATGTTGACCCGGCTAATTATGAACAAACAGCTCAAGATGAAAAGTGGAGGTAGGCCATGGACTCCGAGATACAATCAATTGAGAGGAATGGTACATGGTTCTTAACTAACTTGCCCAAAGGAGCTAAGAAGATCGGCGTGAAATGGGTCTATAAAATTAAACTAAACGAGCTTGGGGAAGTGGAGAAACATAAAGCACGACTAGTT